GATGGTCTCAGATACAAATTTAACTGTAAAAGAATTCTGGAAGGAACATAACAACATCCTTTCCTGTGTGGGGTTGAGAAATACTGGGCCAATGCCTAAGGACATAGATATGCCTGGGAGAGTGTGGCCTAAAATTATGTATACAGGAGAGAGGCTTTGAAGGCTGTGTAGGGCAGCCTAAGCCTTCAATTGACCCTGTGGTTGGTGACAGTCACTACTGCAGAGTCCATAGGCTTCCAGGTAGACAATGATGATGTTGAGGAACTGGTGGAGGAGCACTCAGGAACTGTTTGCAGAGGAACTTCAGCAACTTCTGGCTGAGCAACAGAGAATGGCAGCTGAGGAGCTTTCTGAAGAAAAGGGGGAGCATCAACAATCAGTGCAACAAAGTTTTCTTCCGAAATAAAGGAAATTTTGAAAAAAATGGACAGAGCTACAAACCTTTGTAGAGAACACCCACTCAGACAAAGCCAATCATTACATTCACTTGCTTAATGATAATGTCATGTCATACTACAGAACAGTATTAAAGAAAAGACAGAAACAGACAACCTTAGACAAGTTTTTAGTTCTGAAAGGTTGAGAAGTAGTGAGCCAGAAGAAAATCCTAGTGAGTTTCAGACTCTCCCAAGGAGAAAAAGGACACCACAGAGGCAGATTTTTGATGTTCATATGGAAGAGGACTCTCCTTCCAAACAATAACCACCTTCTATTTCACCTCTCTTCCTGCAAGCCAAACATGTCAACTTAAACGGTTAAGTACAGTATGAAATTGTTGTTTCTGGTAAACTTCACATTTTATAATTTTTTGACTTTTTGGTGAATACACTAGTAAAATTATTGGTGTTTCTGGTAAATTACACATATTAGATAACCCTTTTTATTATAAAAAGGTTAGTTAAGGGGTGATTTGGGAGGTATGGAACACATTATGAGTATTTCCATCATTTCTTACATGAAAAGTAATCTTGACTTACAACCAAATTGAGTTATAACTAGCCCTCGCAAACAAATTGAGTTCGTAAGAGGGTCCACTATATGTGTAAAGGGAGTGCCAGAAGGAAAATAGAAAACTAATAGGTTCACCATCACTGGTATAGACTATTCATACTTAAAATGGTGAATTGATATACAGTAGTTGTATTTATAGCAACCATGTGTGTAACTGTTTTCCAGTCATTGCCCTTGTTCTTTGGTTTTTGTTTTTATTTTCTTCTATTCTTTTTCTTCCTATGCCTTTAATTGAGCATTTTATATGATTCTGTCTTCTCTAATTTTTTTTTTTATGCCGGAGATCGAACCAGGACCTTGCTCTTGTGAGGCAGGCAATAGCACCACTGAGCTAAATCCCTGGCCTTCTCTAATCTTTTAATATTTAAATTATATGTAACTTTTTTTCTCGGTTGCCACACAGTTTGTGATATACATCTGCAACTCAATCTAAGTCCACTTTCACACATCATACTATTTCATGGTTAGTGCACATACATAGTGTCCTCATTTATTCTTCCCAATCACTTATAGATTGCTGTCTTTCATTTCACTTACCATAAAATCCAATTACCAAGTACATTGCTAGTGTTACTATTTTGAAGAAAATATCTATAAGATCAATTAATTATAAAGTTTTATTTTATTGTTCTTTTTCGAACACATTTTTATGTAGCTCTAGGATTTTGACCTATATCATTTTCCTTTGCTATGAAGAACTTTTTTTTTTAGCAGTTCTTGCAAGGCACATGTACTGGCAACAAATCACCTCAGTGTGTTAGCTTAATCTTAATTGTCAGGTTGGCTGGATTAAGAGAGTCCTGGCTGTATAGGTGATTAGATCATAGGAGCACTATACTAATCAGTGAATTGATCCAGATGTTTATAGCTGAATGTGCTGTTAGGAGGTGGGGCCCATTTGGAGAGGTGGGTCACTGAGGACATGCCTTTGGCAAGTTTTTCTCTTGTGGGTACTCTTCCCATGTCCTCTGCTTCTTGACCACCATGAAATGAGCACCTTTGCTCCAGTTACATCATTCTTTCATGATGTTTCGGCCTTGGAGTCAGCCAACCAATGACTGTGAAACTGTCTGAAACTGTGAGCCAAATAAACCGTTTCTCCTTTAAGTTGTGTCAGATATTTCTTCCCGGAAATAGACAACCTGGTTAATATTTCAGCTTTTGATGTATTAGAAAATGTTTGTTTCTCCTTCAATTTAAAATGGATTTTACTGGGTACATATTGCTAGATTGTGAAAATTTTTTCTTTGAATAATTTAAATATTTCACTCTACTCTCTTCTTGCTTGCATGGTTTCTAAAGAGAAGTTTAGTGTTATTTTTATCCTTGTCCTTCTACATATAAGGTGTTTCTCTCTACCTTCTTTTAACATCCTCACTGTGATTTGATATACCAACATGTAGAGTTGATATACCAACATGTACAGTTGTTTAATATTTTACTTTCTTGTTCTTCTCTGAGCTTCCTGCCTCTGTGGTTTGGTGTTGTCATTAATTTTAGAAAATTCTCATTAAATATTTTTCTCTTCTTTTTTTCTTTTATTGCTTATTTTGCTTCCCTACAGAACAAAGGTTCTATCCTAGTACTTTATTTTTGTTCTTTTGCTTGGTGAACTCACTAATATGCATTGTTTCAATTATCCCCCTTTTTTGTGGTATTGGCGATTGAACGCAGGGCTTTCATACTGAGCTACATCGCCAGTCTTTTTTTTTTTCCTTTTTATTTTTATTTTGAGACTGGGGCTCACTAAATTTCTAAGTTGCCCAGGCTGGGCTTGAACTTGAAATCCTCCTGCCTAAGCCTCCCAGAGTGCTAGGATTACTGGCATGAGCCACCAAGCCCACCTTCATCTATCCACTCTTAATCTAACTCTGTGGCTGTCTTGCATTTTATATAAGCAGCTGAACTGCTCTATCTAGATATTCTATTAGTATCTTCAACTTAGAATTTCCAAAACTAAGATTTTCATTCCCCAGACAAGAACTCTGGACTTGCTTTTTAAAAATATACTTCTAGGGCTGGGGATTTAGCTCAGTGGTTTCGCTGCCTGCTGCGCAAGCTCAAGGACCCGAGTTCGATCCCCGGTACCAAAAAATATATATACTTCTAATAACCAATCATTTGCTACAAGTCTCACTGACTACTACACATCTCTAGCATCTTTTTCCTCCATATTACCCTTTATACCTATACTCTGGTACAAACTAATATTACCGCTTATGCAAGCTATTAAACTGGCCTCATAATTACTTAGTAAGTATTTGCTAAATGAAATGAATGGTATTCATAGTACAGGTCCTTCACTACTTTAACCCATCTTCTACAACAGAACCAGATTAACTTCCTAAGGCACAGCTCTAAACTTACTAGTTTTGAACTCAAATAGAGATTCCTCTTTCCCAAATAATTAAGTTTTTTAAAGTTAAAATATTTCACATTAGGAACTCTTATCTTTCTAAGCTTACTTCCAATTCTTCTGAAAGATTTTCCTTTCACTGAGGTCAAGATGAACTATTCACTTCTTCAGGCATATTATGTGTATGCTTTTTCTAGGCCACTATTCAAATTACTCCTACACCAATAACAATCCTATTCATTAACTGATGCTTATCTCAGATGTCATCTTACCTGCAAAACCTTTCCTGATGGTTCCTCTTTTTTTCTCTGAAATCCCACAACACAGTTGGCACTTTGGGATGGGGAGTGAAAAGTGCTGGTACAGAACTAGGACCTTGTTCATTCTAGGCAAGTGCTCAGACATTGAGCCACACCCCCAACTTTGGCTGGTACTTCTTTAAATCATTTGAGACTTATTTTGTATTATGGCAATAAGGCTAAAACTTGTCTTACATAGAAGGAAGAAATTTGCTTTATCCATATTTGAATACTCTCCAGTATGCAAAACAGCACTTTGTATAAGTTCTCAATACATTTTTAGGTGGGAAAAAGAATGAGTAATAAAAGGGAACATACATGACATAGGAAAGAAATAAGTGTGGAAACCTGGGTTCGAAAACAAACTATTAATCCTTAGAGAGGAATACCAAAGTATAGACAAACTTCATTTATATTTAAGCAAACACTTTTAACCATATATTTAGGAATCTAAATTTATTTTTAATTTTAACACTTATGTTTTACAACCTGCCAGGTACTATCCTAAGCCTTTTATATGTTAATTTAATTATTATCACAAACCTCTATTTTACAACTGAGCACGGAGTCTAAGTAACTTGCCCAAGGTTACAAGACTTGTTAGTGGCAGTAACTAGGGAGTCTGATTCCAGAGACCATGTTTGTCAACATCACAACACATTGTATCTTTAGATGTATACTTTCCTGACTTTGAAATCTGAGTAAATGGAAAATAATAGTCTAAAAAATTCAGAGACATCATTATAATTTTGTGTTGTAGGACAATGAAAAACTGAAGGTGCTGCTGAAATGTAGAGTGTCCTTATTTTAAATTTATTCAGCTTTTTTGGCTTTTTTTCAGTTTTTCTTTTTTTTCCCTTGATATTAAATTGTTATTTACCATGTATGGCTATCAATCTGCCTAAAATGTCTTCATCATCTTTTCAATTTACTGGAAACTAGAGACCATACTTACTAGAAAATATGTATTAAATAAGAGTCAACAAGACTGAGGAACTTCTTTTGCAAAGCCCCTTATGTCTGTTAATAACCAATGTTCTCTTTTACACTGGTGCTAGGAGCAAATTCTACTAAGTTGAAGAAATTAGACATCTGATCCAGAGACAGGTCAGATATTACCATTTCAGATATTACTATTTCTAATTTCTACTCACAACACCAAATAATTACATAAATTAAATGAGAGTCTTAAAAGTTGGCCATGTTCTCCCAAAAGTGGCTTGTATTAGTTCAAGGTTCATAACTAGAAAATATCACAGTATTTCTTATACTACAGTACAATTCTTATATATGACGTATAGCATGAGACAATGCATGATTTCTCCTATTCTTACCTTTGCACCACCCAAAAATCCCAAGGAAATGGCAACTCTAGCTCGTAGATCTGGCCTATCTTGGGGCCAGACATAAGAAAGCATTGCTTTTATAATTTTCCGAGTGTCAACATCTTTTAACTGTTGAAAGAGAAAACAAGAAGTAATAAATATTTGAGAAATACATGAAAATATTATAAATATATCTTTTATTCTGAATCTGAGGCCAATATTTTCAAACTCAAGATATTCTGGAGAAAAAGAAATTTAAAATTGCTTTTAAAAGCTACTCATTGCTCTTATTTCTTCTTTTCAGCTATAGTTACTTTCATACCACTAAAAAGTTATTCATTAGTGGTAAGGACACACATTTTTTGTCTATACATTTTTTGTCTATTAAGCTATAAAATTATACATAAAACTTTAAAAATATTTCTGTACTGCCACTGTTGTAGTTAATTTTGAGTCAAGTCCAAACCCATAGCAGAGCAGAGTTATAATACAATGTTTAGGAAAGTAGGGGTCTTAGTATTGACAATGTTGAACAAAGGTATGGGTATTAAAAATGTCAACAAAAATGCAATTTTCCATTCATGCTTAATCTGACCTAAATCCGACTCACATTTTCTTTTTTCCATGTTCCTGAGGCAACATTCCCATTAAAGTTTTTGGCTTTGGGTTCAGTTTTAGAGGCAGAATAGTAAGAATCAAATTCATACTTTCTAAAAGCAAAAGATCTATACACATATATTTCACAACTACTATATTATTACAGTTGGTGAAAAATAACGCCATTCAAAAAACTGAAATACTGACACACTTCCTGGAAGAGTTATTTAAAAAGAAAATAAAAGATAATGCTAAATATTGGTGATGCCACCCATTTTATTGTACTCTTTATTTTATCCTTTATCCTGGTTTAAAAGTCTTTAAAAATGTGCCTGAGCCTTTGAAACACTTCTTTAAAACTGCCTCCACTTTTTTTTTAAAAAAGATTATTTTTTACACTTCATAGTTTATCTAAACTATAGCAAAAGTCATGTCCTTTTCAGCTTAATGGACTCATAATGCATGATTACACAACTGTAGAACTCATTTTGTTAAATGAAGTGATGACATTTTATGCACCATTAAGCCAACTATATTAATTTTCTTACTCTTAGTCATAACTTCTGTGTCCTTGTTGAAAAAAATTCTGGGGTGTGTCTTAGAAGGTTTTTCTAGAAGAGGGTGTTTTGAAAGTTATGAGAAAATGGCATTTTTCCTATTATTCCATCAAGAAAAATAAGACAGGAGAAAAACACTCATGAAATGGGAGAGTAGTCGAAATGCCCCAGTTTGCATTATAATGCAGTAAATTACTTTTATTTTTCTAATAGTTAGATTGGAATAGTGAATTTTAAAATTACTGTCTTCTTCCATTTTTAAATGCTTTATCTGTTAGTTATGAAAGCTTGTGTGTATGTGTGTGTTTGTATAGTATAAAGAATTAAGTACCATACTTTCACTTTCCATGTTTTTTACCATCTTTTGTATTTAAAGCGGCTTAGGACAGTAGTTCTGTTTTCAGTACAATATAAACAGCTTTATTTCTATTATTCTTTGTGGAATAAACTGCCTAAAAGTCTAAAATACATAATTTGCTGAACCCTACGGGAATAACCACAATATAAAAGTACCCTGTGTTATATTCTTTTTTTTTTTTCCTGATACTGGGGATCAAACTCAGGACCTTGTGCTTTCAAGGCAGGCACAGCGCCACTGAGCTAAATCCTCGGCCCTGGGTTTCTTATATTTTGACAATCTTCTCCTCTCTTTGCAGTTCAAATCTACTTTTGTGTAACTTTTTCCACTTTGAAGTGTTTTTTTCTTATGTGTGAATTACAAAAATACAAGCAAGCAAAAAGAATATAAAAAACTATCAATGATTCCACCCACTCACAACTACTTTTGTTAACGCTTTGGGGAGTACTGCTTACCAGATCCATTTGTATGCCCATGTAAATTCACACATACATTATATTTCTTCCTATGAAAATAAGTTATTTTATTTTTTTCATTTAGTATGTTTGTGTGCCACTATACATGTTTCTGAATTCCTAGTGGGAGTCCAAAAAGACAAAAGGGTTATCTAAAGCTGGAAAGGGACAGTCACTAGCTTGAGACTAAATTACAGTTACCTTTTTAATCAACTATTCATTTTCACCCTGGCTCAACGGGGTATAAACAGATAGTATAGCACAGACATTCCAATCAAGACCACTTCTTGGTATCTTCCCAAAAGAATTAAAATCATCATATCACCACAATATATGCACACCCATGTTTACAGTGGCATAATTTGTAATAGAAAAATCTTGGAAATAGCCCAAATGCCCATCAGTGAATGAATGGATAAAGAAGATGTGGGGTTTTTTTATATGACGGAATACTACTCTGCCATAAATAAGGATAAATGAGTCATTTCTAGGTAAATGGATGCACCTTGAGACCATACTCTTAAGTGAAATAAATCAGATACACACACTAAAATATTGCATTGTTTCTCTGGTGTTAGAAACCAAAAGGGTAAATAAGGACGAAAAGATATTATAGATATTGGGCAATAGGAAGAAAAAGTTCAAATAGGAAGGGAAACAAGGGAAGGGGGGAGGGAGAAAGGAAGAAAAGGAAAAGAAAAAAAGAGAAGGTAAAGAATATGTATAGGTACAAATTCCCTATGATGAATACAATCATTATGTATATCTAAAGTATACCAATAAAATTAATTTTAAAAAAGAAAGATTGGGTGAGCAGTAGGGATTAGTTTCACTGTTAGTATTCAAATTAATTTAGCATCATTGCAGAAGTTTTTTACCCCAAGTTTCAAGTTTATACTGTTTGGCTTAACTATTTAAAAATATATATTATTTTTCTTTGAATTTTAAGATTGAACACAAGTATATTTATCAATAGATTTGTATGTAATAAAAATAATTGTTTTCTCATGTTAAAAAAAAGATCACATTCTTAAAGAAAGGATGGGGAATGTAGGAAATGATAAAGGAAGATGCCAGGAAACTGGGTCATTTGAAAAACTATGCTCTAAAGAGTAATCACACAATGGGAAAAGATACAAAATGATGATTTAAAGAAATGAAGTTTTTTCCTTCCAAGAATCACAATTCCTGAAGTGACTAATGGATGATACCATGACAATTTTCTTTAAGCCTGAGAAATAAGTAGGTACTATAAAACTCTTTAACTTCTTTGTTTATCATTTTAACAGTAAATAGAATTTCAAAGTTATTTTAAAACATAATGACTATATCATGACAACAAAAGCTCTCTAAAATTGAACGCTATAGAAATATTTGTAAAAGGATTGCAAATGTAGGAGCAAAACTACTTTCCTTGTCTGCTAACAAAATACATAACAATGTGGCCTTCTTGCTACAAGTAAACAAACATCAAATTTGAAGCACGAAATTGACATTTTAAGATTCATTACAATGTAAAACTAGTACCAAGTTAGTATGAGAAATAGAAATATTTAGAATGGTCTCAAATACATATTGGAATTACACAGTCATAATTAATGGAAAACAGATGAGGAAAAAACATACAAGGTAACAAAAGAAATTCAAATTGGCTCATCAGGGTCTTTGATTAATAACAAAACTCTACTGTACTTTTTTCTAGAAATGAGTTTAAAAGAAAAAGTTTGAAATGTCAGAGAGCTGCCCTAGGAGATTAAAGTAACTGGAAACAAGATGGTCCAGAGAAAAAACAGATGCCAGAAAAGGAAACATGTCTGATATTGGGAACAATGTTTAATAAATGTTCATTCGATAATTTATCTATGCCTGTCATTGCAGGAATTGGGCAGACAATGTGGATGCCCTCTAGAAACAGACAACCATCAAGAAGTTCCCCCTATGACATACTCATGGTGAAGCTTGACTCTGCTCTCCCCACCGGTGAGAGTCTTACCAGATGACATTAGATGACAATAAGTAAAGACAGCCTGTACAATCCACATGAGCCACGGATCCCACAACATGATGACAACTGAAGGAAACCATTCAGGAAGCAGAAAAACTTGTCCATTGTCAAGGCCTACCTAGAATGCTTGATAGTCTCTTGTACTATATGTATACCTGCAGTACAAAGTGAATCTTTCTGGGCATGTATTAACAAACTGAGGATTCTCATAAATACAAAAAATAGGATTAATTTGCACAGGCAATAGATCAGCTTGGTCCTTGGAGTTATATGAAGGCTCATTTTGGTATGTATGAAGGATTGATGGGATTCTTAATTATTTGTCTTATTGTTTTGTCTGCCACCTCAAGAAAAGAACCCAAAAACATGAAACAGATGTAATGCAACTGCACTTCACTTGGCTTCAGCTGCTATTACAAAAACAAAAAGGGGGAGATGTAGGAGACAAGTTAATGAGGATAAAGGCCTAACTGACCTCTGTGAGCACTAAAGAGAAAAACAAGAAGCTGTGCCTCCTTTGGCAACGTGCAGGCATGCTAGCACACTGCAAGTTCCAGAGAAGTCAACACAGCTGAGATCTGGATGTTTACCCGGATACATGCTATAGATAACAAGTGGCAGGTGGATCTTCTATTAATCTAATTGTTTGTTCCTGTGTCTAAGTGAATAAAAGTGAGGCAAGCCAAATGCTGAGGGCTCTTTGTCCACTAGAGGTAAGAATGCCCTGGCCCCTTCATTCCAAATTATCTTTGTGTCTTTTGTCTTTCATCCTCGTTGGGCCCCTGGTTTGGGATGAACTCATAGGCTGGTTCCTACACCTAGGAACCTATGCAGGGTCAAGATCACTAATATCATTGTCTTCCACCTCCACATCTTGCCCACTAACATGTCTTCAGGAGCAATAACAAATGTGTTGTGATGACACCTTCTTCTGGACCATTCCTACAGGATCTGACTGAAACTCATTCTGAGAAAGTGCCACTTTTCAGAAATATATCCATGGTAGTTTGCTTAATTTTATTTTTTTTCTCATCATAGATTTGCTTGTAAGCAGATAAACATTCCTCTCTATTAGTGGTTTGATGTTCAGGTCTATTTTTAAAAACCTTTTAAGGAGCTTACTGAAATCTGCAAAAGCTTCTGCTTAACCTCTCAAT